TAGAATGAAAACGTCGTAATGCGAAAATAAAAAGCCCATTGAAATGCATTGAAACCCCTTCAATGCATTCCAATGGGCTGGAAACTCACCGTCCAGCGAAGATCCTCCATAGGGCAGCCATTTTCGGTGCCTGTGCAGCGAGGAATCCTTCCCAGAAAACAGCGGGGAGCAATTTTATTTACCCGGCAGCTATTTTGAAACGGCCAATCAGCTAGAGAAAAATCATCGTTTTGCGAAGAATAAGTTCCCGAAGCAGGGAACCGATCATCGCAAAGCGAAAAAACCCCATTCAAACCATGGTTTTGCAATTGCAATTGCAATCACAAAAAGATCATCATAATGCGTTTTTGTCGTAATGTGGGGCAATCGTTAAGCAAGACACCACTGTAGCTTTTATGGTTTTTTCCCATGGTTTCTGAGATCCAAAGGCCCCTTGTAACCCAATCGTTAAGCGAGGCACCACTGTAGCTTTTATGGTTTTTTTCCCATGGTTTCTGAGAATCAAAGGCCCCTTGTAACCGAGTACTCAACTGAAGCCGTGGTCACACTAGAAAAATGTCCCTCTTTTTTTCTCGCATCTTCTGCTCCCTGTATAGTCATGCATTGTGGTCCCACGTTAGTGGTTCTTAATCATTGGTTTTTAACCCTTCCACCTTAGAGGTTTTTAACTGTTCCACCTTTTTAAGGGAAAATTGGATGCAGTGCATTCATCTGCATCCCTCAAGTCAGACACATTCCCTTCCTTTTCTGTGTGTTTCTCTGTTCCCCTATCCTTTAAAAAAAATTGTGTGGGTACACCAGTGTGTTGGTAAATTGTCCATGCTGCGAGAATACCTTGAAAGTACATTGTCTTCTTAGCACCACCTGGTGAGAGCATGTTGTGGGTGGCAGGTTAAGAAAACTCTCTGAGAGTACTTTAAGCCGTTTTTGACAGAAGCATATCAACAGAAGTGCCAACAAATTGGTTAGAAAATTAATTTTTAAAAATTAAGAGAGTTGAACAACCTGCATGTTGAAAGTTGTTTACTGATAGGATGAAGGAAGGAGAAACAGAAGCTACAGTAAAGGAAAAACAGCCCCAAATTCCATATGAAGCTCTTTCTGAAATCTTCCTCCTACCTACAGAGAGCTAACTAAAGACCAGAAGAAAGAGGGAGATGATGTTCACCATCCATCTTTCCCACCACACTGACTAAAGACTGTTGATAAGAATAATGTCCCAGTCTGGAAGTCAGAAGCTGTCAATGGGAAATATTCTGGCTCCACTTTTCCTCTTCCCATCCTGATACTTTCTTTATATGGTGCAATTTACAACATTTTGTCTTGTACTATGTTTATATTGCCAAATCAGTCTGATATGTTTCAGACTTGGCCTGATCTCACCACAATCCAGACTAGACCAATCCAGTTTGGACTTGATGCACATAGTTCTCAGTTCATTCCCCCCCCCAAAAAATGCAATTGATTTTATTTCTGTATTTGAAGCAATGAATAGTGTTTGTCACCAATAAAACTCACGTGTATTGCTTTTCTTTTAGTGATGTTTGTCACGAACTCTTAGGCCATGTCCCTCTTTTTGCTGATCCCAGTTTTGCTCAATTTTCACAAGTAAGTAACACCTTTTAAATATAATAACAGACAAGAAAGATAATTAAGAAATAAATGGAAGAGTTTAGTTTAACTATTTATATAAGCAAGAAAAACTCAAACACAGTTTCCAGGAAATCTGCTTTCTCCATCTAAGACTACAGCCTTATACACACTTACCTGGGCACATAGACAAACAGAATAAGACTGCTAATTAATTTTCCTAAGCTGTAGAAGCCATTCAATGAAAGTAATTAGCAAAACCTTTACAGGCTCTTGCAAGCTAATTATGTTTCAAAAATCATTGGCCCAAATCCTGTTGTTTAGCATAGTAAATTGCATTAGAGTAGGCCCATTGAATCATTAGGGATTTGATCAATCAACTCCTCCATAGGTTACTTTGATTCAAATGGCTTATTTGAACTGCAATTTATTTTATTGTAATAAGTTGCAGTTAGACTAGGCCCATTTGAATCAGCTTACAGAGAAACTGAGTCACTAACTCTCTACTGATTCAATACTCTACTGTAATTTACTACATTAAACAACAGGATTTTGGCCTATGTCACACTGAGCTGTTGTAAGCTAATTGCTGCTCAAATATTCAACATGTCCAAGAATACAACCAGCCACCAGAAATACAGGGGTTTCATTGACTTAACATGATTTGAATGTTCTAACTGATATTTATAGAAATTTGCTTTAAGGCCAGAGCCTTAAATGAAGGGCAAGGAAGCACTGAAATCCAGATTTTTTTAAAAAAAAGTGTGGAGGGAGAAAATGGGATAGTATTTTCAGTGCATGCCATTCCAGAGCTTGGAAATGTTATTTTTGAGCTAAAAACATTTTGATTTCAGAATGCCCTCATGAGCATTGCCCATACCATTTGGCAGATTCTGGAAATGTACTCTGAAACAATAACATTTCCAAACTCAGATCAAATCTGCCCATTTCTACATTGTGTGTATTTTCTTTTTAAAGCTAGATGGGGTGAAATCATATATAAATAACATTTAAAGAGTGTGCTAAAAAGAAACACACAGTAATAGTATTCCATTTTTATAGGAAATTGGATTGGCGTCCCTGGGAGCACCGGATGAATACATTGAAAAACTTGCTACGGTAATTGTAGAAGTCTGGTGGCCATTTCAGCATGGTCCAATACCAAGGTCATGACGAAAACTCTAGACTCATAGAATACAGAATGCTGCTCTTTCACACAAAACCTGGCTTCATGTATAGATAGAAATTGACTGGACTGGCTGCTGAACCTTCGACTCTAGACTCATAGAATACAGAATGCTGCCCTTTCACACAAAACCTGGCTTTATGTATAGATTGGACTGATTGTATGTATTGATTGGACTGGCTTCTGAACCTTCATTCAACACTAGAAAAGGGACAGCACCCTCTAGCGTACCTATGTGGAGGTTGGTAACTCTGACTGTTGAAGGGGCAGTGAATCCACACTGGGATTTAGTCTGAACTTTACAAAGCCTATCCAATGTACTGAAAATGATCGCCTAAAGAGGGGCAATGTCATGGATATCTCATCTAAAGTTCAGGCTAAATCCCAGAGCAGATTCACCACCTCTGTGAAATCAGAGTCACGTGATACCACTGTGCAGGATTCACAAGTCACATCTGTCCCATATCTGTATCAACCAGCTGTGTATTCTAAATCAAGTAAACGGTGCATTATTTTCATCTCAAATACACCTTTATCCTAAAATATACATCTTATTCAGATGAATATTAAAACTGAAATAAACAAGTTGTGGAACTCTAGAGACCAAGAGATGTATTACTGTGTGAGCTTTGGTAGATTACAGCCCCGAAGGAAGTGGGCTTTAATTCAGAAAAGGTTGCACTGAAATAGGTTTTAGTTCTTCAGGTGCCACAAAACCTTTTGCTTCTGATTTTTAGATACATGCTGAAATAGCTACCACTCTGAAAACATTTTATACATGCTTGTTTGTGCATGCGCGCACATGTACACATGTCTGTGCAATCTCTCTCCTTGTGTGTGTGTGTGTGTGTGTGTGTGTGTATACCAAGATATTTACTACAAAATGTACTAAATATCTGAATCTTAAATCTGGGCTGCCAGATTTAAGTCTCAGATACTGAGGTTGGGTATGGCCAACCTTTCTGAGGTGGTACAGTAGCAGGCTCTGGAGAATGGAACTTGCCTCCAAACCAACCGTTCGTAGAATCAACCCTGAGGGTTACATACCTAAATAACTCAAACTCCAGACAAAGCAACCAAACTAGGTAATAATAACAGCCCAGATAAGGTGGGATATGTTTTCATGGCTGGACCTATGGCAACAGGCACCCAGCACTGCAGAAATTCCTGCCAAGTTTGCTGGGCCTCACATCCCATAAGTGATATCTCGGGAGTTTTCCAGAACCCATACTGTTGTTGGGCCTTTTGCTGCTGCTGCGCCCACTGCTGCTGCCCGGGTATGCGCAACAAGAAGGGTCACAAGTCACAAGACTGGTGCGTCAGACCCAAAGTTGCTTCGAGTGAAACGATAGGCCTGTGCATGCATCCTTTGCATCTCTCGCCAGTCTCGTACCTTTATTGGTGAAGCACACCTAAAAACACTTTCACACCAAGCCAGTGATCCCTGGTGCCGGCTGTGAACATGTAGACGTGAGTGATCAGGTTTTGTTCATCCAGCACAAGAATGGAACTTACTGCTGGTCCAACACCACCATCCCGAGATTAGTCTCTCCTTCTGGGGATGCCGTGAAGCACAACAGTATCTCGAGACCTCCACTGGCCCCTTGAGGCCTGGTGACCCAAGAGCGGTAGTGGTGGGCCAAGTCATCTTCCCTCTTTTTTCCAGATGTCAAACAAATATTATAATGACCTGTATTTCATTTATTGAAAAGCAAAGGTCTGAAAAATGACACCTGGCCCAAACCAAATAAACTAACAAACTTAACCAACCCTTTCATATACAGTATTAAGATGATCATATCCTAACATTAGGAAGCTGGCCATTAGTGTTGCAAAATGTACATTGTCTAATGTGGTGCCAAATGTATCTCTTCGTAGTATCACCTGTGCAATAACAGACGCAGCTTCTTTTCTCCCAGGTGTATTGGTTTACAGTAGAGTTTGGACTGTGTAAAGAAGGCAATGCCATTAAAGCCTATGGGGCTGGACGTCTAATGTGGTGCCAAATGTATCTCTTCATAGTATCACCTGTGCAATAATCTTTGCACCTTCTTTTCTCCCAGGTGTATTGGTTTACAGTAGAGTTTGGACTGTGTAAAGAAGGCAATGCCATTAAAGCCTATGGGGCTGGACTGCTGTCATCATTTGGAGAATTACAGGTACGGATCTGGCTTCAGCAAATTTGCATCCTGGGCAATGCCATTAAAGCCTATGGGGCTGGACTGCTGTCATCATTTGGAGAATTACAGGTACGGATCTGGCTTCAGCAAATCAAAATTGCATCCTGCCCTTGCAAAAAGTAAAAATGTGTACAATAACTTTTCTACAGCTTTCTATGGACCATATTTCCAAGTTTCTAGATCAGCTTGATGGCACTCACACTTAAAAAGCAATGATCAGATTGAGAAAAGATTGCAGTAGGATCACTGTGTCCACAGGGAATTGGTTCCAAGCCAACCTGAGCAGATGCTGAAAAATGTAGAAGTATCAAACACTGTACATTGCATGGTCTCTCGCTCCTTCTAGTGCTCTGTTCTGGTAAATACAACCTGGAAATGCATGTAAATAGATATTTTTGAGGCTTTTTATTTAATATTTTCAGCCATCAGATTAGTGAATCAGCTGATATTGTTCCCACAGATAGGGGTGCCCTACTGTATTCTGTGCTCAGGCAACAATAATAATTTCTAAATGTTTTATGCCTTTCTCTTATAGTACTGCTTATCAGAGAAACCTACCATTGAACCTCTCAACTTGGAAAAGACAGCAGTTCAGAAATACCTTGTCACGGAATTCCAGCCTATTTATTATGTTGCTGAAAGTTTTAAGGATGCAAAGCAAAAAATAAGGTAATTGCTTTATTTGCATTAAGGCTTGGCTGAATTATTTGGGCATCTTTTCACTGAGCTCAGGAAGAGGGAAATGAAATCTCTTTCCTAGCTACTCCTTCCCCAAATACCACAATTAAATGGCAGTAAAATTAATCCCTTTTTATGCCTCCAATGTGGTAAGACTATTGGATGTAGGTGCAAGCTGCTAGGTATGGATTCTGCTTGTACATAGTGGGTCAACCCCATAATTACTTATAAGTTAAAAATAAATTATTTCAGCTTAAGGACACAGTACTCATTTAACCAAGGTGTAGTATTATACAGCACTGTATCTGTAATTTCTGGAATCTTCTGGCTAGCAGGGTGAGATCCAGGAAAAAAAACACAAGAAAATATATTTTAAGTCCAAAAAAGTGATTTTCCAGGTTCTGGGTAGCTTTCGATCTGGTCCAGGTGATATTCTCTCATGTTTTGATGAAAGCATGTTGTTTTTTAAAGAGGCTATGACCATGATGTACTGTACATGGAATTCTAGGAATTATAGTCCAAAACAGTAATTTTTCCAAGCTACTTCCATTATACAGGAATGTCACAGAGGCCGAGGTTATTTCATGAAAGGCACCAACCAGCAGTTACAGACCCTTTTGCTTAAAAAGTGACAGGAAGGCGAGCTCAATATATTGTGCTGCCTAAGGAGAAAGACAAGATGGCATCCTTGTCCATCTACAGAGAGGAACTGGCTAGACTGGCAGTTGAATTCCACTTTGACACTACCCTTATTCAATCATTGTATAATCTGGAATCATTAACACAGTTATGAAAGAGAAGGGTTCTCTGTTGTCACTTTGCTCATGCAGGTAGCAGTATGTCTGAATAGAAGAGAAAGGCCCAGATTTTCCAGGATTTTTGCTCAGATGTAGAGCCTACACATGAGCAGGAACATCTCTTCTGAACTATCATTGCTTGTGTGAGCAAAACTATGACAGTAGGAGTAGGGCTGGCTTCTCTCCTGTAACCATCATGATAATTCCAGATTAAAGGACCAGTGAATAGGGCAACTGGTAATGTGACAACATCTTTAACTGCATCGGAGGCAGTGGACGAGACTGAGGGAGGTGCTGAAAGATGGTGGAGCATGCACCACCTGGTCTTCTAGCAGAGAAGAACAGCGAGATACTACAAGAAGAACAGATGGAAGGCGACTACCACATTCCTTCCCCCAATCATCTACCACCTGAGGTGGTTGCCTCATGATGGCTCATGACAGGGACTAGACCTGGGTAGACCTCTAATTTAATGAATACATATTGTATATTAAAGAGCCATCGAAGCTAAAACTGAAATAGCCTATGCCATCTGAGGGTGGTGGTCATGAGGAGAACATGTTGAGAAAAGGATGAAAATGTGAAGTTCCAACCAATGCATGGAACAGTCTGACAAACAATTATCTCCCATCCCAAATCAAGGAAGAGATATTGTTTCCCATCCACATGTACACATGCACTGTTGCTACTGGTGTGATTTATTGTGCAGGTCCTCCGTTTTCTCCTTCACCTTTCCATTCTTGCATGTTATAAAATCCTACTTTTCCCATTTTTGTATGATGGTGTTTGGTAGGAACACAGACTTCAGGTTGCATTGAAACTTCTGTTTTCTCCTTCAGGAAATATGCCTCAACCATCCCTCGCCCGTTCTCGGTCCGTTACAACCCTTACACTGAGAGAATCGAAGTCCTGGATAATGTGAAGCAACTGAAGAATTTAGCAGATGCCATCACCAGTAAGAAATCCCACTTCACAAAAAAAAGTAGCAGAATCCAGACTACTGAATCGGTTTTCTTTGATGTTCGCCAATGGTACACATTTTTTGCTCCATTCATGAAATCCCCCTTCCCCCCCCCCCCCAAAAAAAGTAACAGACTACGGACTACTGAATCAGTTTTCTTTGATGTTTGCCAATGGTACACAGTTTTGCTCCATTCCCCTGAATGGAACCCAAAGGGCAAAAGATCCAAAGGATGACACTTAATAATATCTGGCCAATGGGAGGGAGTTGGCACCTGTCATAGGGTAAATTACAACCCGACCACAGTAACTCACATCTACATAAGCAGATACATACAGTTTAATTGCAATATTGCATTGCAGTAGGACCTCCATATCCATAGGATTAGTATCCACTGATTCACTTATTCACAGTCTGAAAATATTAAAAATATTAGAAGAAAAATCTGAGAAATATGACGTTACCATGGAGAAAAAAACTATATGCAAATCCATCCTGGAAGGGTGCAAGTTGGTCTAAAAAGATTCTAAGCATGGATAGCTGTATCTCATATTCACAAAATTTAAAATTTCCTTCAATAGCAGACTGCCTAGGTGTGCTCGAGACAGCACAATGGAGAAGCTTAGGTTAAGAAATCATGATTTGTCCAACACCCTTCAAGAACACTCAGGAAAATAACAATAACAATAACAACAACAATTACTACTACTACTACTACTAAACTTGATTGTAAAATTTGGAAGGATAACATCCAAGCAGAGCATCCTTTTTTCTTCCCTAACTCTGATTTGTCCTGTGAGAAAGGGCCTCTAGCAGATGCATTCCCGTTGGCAGATTCACAGACTATCTTGGCAATCTATAGACAAAGAAGCTAAACTCAAAGGATTCTGGCATTGCTTCTCATCCAGTATAATTACTATTGTCAAGATGCAGTTTTAAGATAAGCTGGCTGCAACTTTTCCTCTAATTTTGTGGAGCTCTGCGGTGAGGCTTTGCCTCCTCTAGTTACAATTCTGGCCACGAGCAAAAGCAAATGGATGCAAACACTCTTGGCTGTGTACACGCAGTGCAGAGCTGCATGTCCACACGCCCATACCACCTCAGAGGAAACATTGCCTGGCTGTCATACATTCAATATTTAAGTACAACCGTTCAAGTTAATTCAAGTCAATAGAGCACTAGACTTTGACTGAGGTAGTCTGAGTTCAAATTCCTCTATGTCCAGCCTACCTATGAGGGCTACTGTTAAGATAAAATGGGAATAAATTCATAGACACCACCTTATACTCCTTGAAAGAGGGTTGGGATGACAAAAGATGGGCTTTCTTTATCTCTTTGTAGATGACATGGGACTTCTGTGCAATGCCCTCCAGAAGGTAAAATGAAGAAGATGATCTGAGACGTTGCAGCTTGCTTCTGAGATCTGTGTGGCAAAAGAAATAGGTCTTGTCTAAACAAGAAATGATACTTAACTCCACTGAAACTAAATCAAATAGATGGTAATTACTCTAAGATGTACTGAAGAGGGTGCCAGAAACTAGCTACTTATTTTCATATGTGTTGGGAATTTGAGGATATATTGAAATTTCAGCAAATGGTTTTAAGTACATAAATGAAATAAGCAAACTTTGCTTAGCTGTAGATCCTAAAATAGTGGTTTTATTAATATTTGGAAAGGAGGGAGGTAATTGGATAACTGAAGAATTAATTTCCAATTTGTTAACAGTGGCGAAATTCATTATTGTCAGGAACTGGAAAACAGCGTATAATTTCCAATTAAGTGATTGGTTAAGGGAAGTTTAGGATATAGCTATTATGACAAGCTTACATGTAATATAGCTGGCTAGATTGGGAGTTTGAATCCCCCACAGTGCCTCCTGTGAGCAGAGCCAGCCTATGTGGCCTTGGACCTCCTGCACAGTCCCAGGGCACCCCCAGAAGAAGAGAATGGTAAACCACTTCTGAATATTCTCTGCCTGGAAAACCCTGAAGAGAGTTGTCATAACTTGACTTGACAGCATATGGTTGATATTGCATGTAATATAAAAGCTAAAAGGATGTAACAGGCAAGGATGAACTTATATGGGGAGAATTCACTGATTTTGTATTAACAAAAGGGAAGGAACAAAGCCCATCGCAAGAGTCGAAATAATTCTGGAAGGGAAATGGGGCATCACAAGGGTAAATACTTCCACATGATCCCAGAGAGGGTGCGCACTATGTATTTAGACATTCGTCTATTAGATTTCTTTTCTCTTTGTTTTTGTTTTCTGTATAACTAAAATTAATACAATATTTTAAACAAATAAAAAAATCAGAATATCACTAATTAACATGAAGCAGAAATATCTCATATATTTAATGTGCTTACAATGTATATTTTATTATAATAACATATGGCAATGTTACTATAATAATCTATGGCAATATTAGCGAGCAGATCTACATTTTTACCTGTAACATTAGTATTAGAAAACTCAGATATCAGCAGATAAGTCATTTACATTCTTACAGTGCAATTCTACTCATAAGAAGTCCCACTGAGTTGAATGGAACTTACTCTAATGCAAGAGGGCATGGGATTGCAGCCAGGGATATGATGAATACTCTAGATTCCTTCCTTTTGCTGAGAACAAGACAAAAGTATTTATTAGTGTCTATGTAATCATACACAATAATTTTTTTTTATTTTATTAAATTTCTACCCCATACTCATAAGAAGTCCCACTGAGTTGAATGGAACTTACTCTAATGCAAGAGGGCATGGGATTGCAGCCAGGGATATGATGAATACTCTAGATTCCTTCCTTTTGCCGAGAACAAGACAAAAGTATTTGTTATTGTCTGTGTAATCATACACAATAATACATAGAAGGACTGGCTGGTTAGGAATGAGATGAGAGAAAGAAAATAAAAGATTTAGCTGGACTGGCTGGTTGTTAAGAAAGACATGAACAACCCATCTGAGGCTTAAAATTGGCAAATGTCTGTGAAATAAAGGACCAGTTATCTCTATTGTTTCCGTCTTCTGTTGTGTTGTTTATTGCTTTATCTTGCACAAAAAATGTCATCCTTGCAAATGTGAGGAAGAGTGTAATAAAATATCCAGCTGAATTTGGCACCCAGCACTAGTTTTCCCATATGATATTCATGCTGAAGGGTGGGAGGATAACAGACTTGGTTTAAGGAAAGGGCAGGCAGCTTAATCTGGGCAGAAGTAAGTCATTTTAATCAAAGTAGCTCCCACGAGAACACATATAGTTCCACAGACAAAACCCATATAAAGGATGAAAAAAAAATCTATCTAAAGGGTTGAAAGGGCCTTTGAGCAAGACAAAACTTAGTAGGTGGGCACATGCTTTTATGTAGTTTGCCTTGGGTTCAGTCCTCTGCTGTTTCCACTTAGAAGATCACTTGACAGATGTTGGGAATAACCTCTGAAAGAAAACACACAAAGTTGCAGTTTGTCAGAATAGCCACTACCAAGCAGATTTAACAAACAAACACAGGGGTGACATTTTGTCTATGGATTGCATGTAGGGTCCAAATCATCTCAGCAACCTGCATGCCCCCAATTTTGTTTGTGGGAAAAAATTAGATCAAAATGTTCTTTTTTGCCCTTTTCAAGATAAGGGGGCAATTTTGTCATGTCTTGAGGGCCCTCTACCTTTCGTCCCAACTCCCCCAATACAAATATATTTTTGGCCACTAGGGGGCTTTTGCGGTTTGAAAACTCAATTTTTGTAAGATTTTTTGTTTGTTTGTGGGATGTTGGTTGTAGAAGCCAATGCAGCTCTCCAAGGTCCAGGGTGAGGTATGTGTGGCCTATAACTTCCCAGAAATTGCCTGTCTCTGGTTTAATGAGACATATGTTCAAACTAAGTGCACAGTCCTATAATCCTGTTCTACCAGTGGAGGAACTGCAAGAGTAAGTGGTATAATGGTAAATGTTAACGTGTCCGTAGCTACACCTGTAAAGAGGCTCCAAAACTGCAGACAGCTGTATTAATCATCCATATACCTGAATCATTCCCAGGAGTTTTCCCCAAGAAGAATATAGTACACCAGGATCACATTTTTCTAATGTAATGAACATGAATTTTTCTTTTAAGACAAAGACCCCCACCCTTATTTGCATTTCAAGTAAACTCACAGTAATATGCTGTTGCTGGAGAAAGCTATTCCTTGCCGTTCCCTACTACTAGAGTATGATAAACTCAAGACTGAAACCAATGTCATTGCTGAACAATATGACCCAGCAGAAGCCCTACTGTACTGGCAGGACTTGAGATACCCCACTAACATAAAAACTGCACCAGTACAAATGTTCAGATACACCAGTGGCCCATCCATATCAAAGGAAGCATTCCATTGGAAAAGATGGGAAATAAGAATAGGCAAGAGACCACCAAAAAGTATAATCATCATGTGCCACCAAGACAGTTCTAACTTATGAGACCCTTCTTCTGAGTTTTCCAGGTAGAGAATACTCAGACGTGGTTTACCATTTCCTTCTTCTGGGGTCACCCAAGGCTGCACAGACTGGCTCTATTCCCAACCTCTGGGTCCACAGCCAGATACCTAAACCACTAAGCTATCCAGAAGAATATGGTACAATAACTATTACAATAGCATTACTCTTTTAAACCTAAGTATTTTGAGCAATGCAGATTGATTTGTAGTCTTTAAGCAAAAATTTAAAATACCTATTTCATTTAAATAAAATGCAACTATCATCCCAAACCTCATATCTTGACCTTTATCTTTTTACACATACCCTCCATCAACACATAACAGTCAGTAGATTTTGAATTCATTTTATATGTTTGTTTTCCTATTTTGAGGGAGCAAGAAAGTAGACTCTCTTCTTTGTGTGTGCTTCAAAGTTTTTTGAAATGAGTTCTTGAAACTTAAAAGCAATGCAGTGCTGTGTAAATATACCCATTCAACAACAGGAGAAGAGACGAACGCTTTGAAATGGAAACTCTGTCCGGATGTTGTTAAGTGTGATTTTCAATTTGTGCAAAATATTGGAAATGAATACGTAATCCTAATCAGAGTTGAGTCAAGCAAAGCCATCTGAGGATGTAAAAAATCTTCTGAAGAGAGTGCATGCAAAGCATGACTTCAGGCTGTGGGTGGCTTCTAACTTTGTTTTTTGTTGGTTTGGGGTTGTTTTTTTGCTTTGCTTTGTTGTTGTTGTTTTTTGCAGTCCTTTAAACTATAAGACTCGCTCACTTCCATCAGAGAACTGGCTTTCATTGCAAAGAGAGAGAGAATGAGGGAGGAACCTGCTCTCATCCAAACCCAACATAAGCAGGGATTCTCCTTTTAAAGAGATACTAGCCCCCCTTCAGTGTTTAACACCTCCAAATATGGATTTTTTTAAAAAAAAAACCTAGAAGTGGTCTTTCCCCCATATTTTTGACAGGCTGTGTGTCTCTGGAGTATCACAGGGGTGGAAAATTGGGCAAATATAAGAATTATATTATATTGGGCAAATATAAGAATTACACTCTGTTGGCGGTGGGGGAAATATTGGAACCTCTCCAGGTCATCCCCAATTAACAGAGTACTGTATATATTTCTCCATATTATATGTGTCCATTGACTGATGGGAGAAGGTAGTTTAAAAACCACCATGATATTTAATATAAATAAAATAATTGAAAAGAAGAGGCTACCCCTGGTCCTCTGGGAGGATTATTACAATTTGACATTAATTAACTCATAGCAGTTGGGAAAGATGGTATGGCTCAGCACCCTGGACAGCGACGTATATGAGGAGAGAAGTGCTCCGAAGAAATCAGCACCGCCTACAGCGACTTCAATGAGAACAAACAAAGAGCCGTGCGGGGGTGTGGGGGGGGAGAACTTTATCGCCTTAATTTAACTTCTGAAATGGGGACAAATGATCGCCACAATTGATTTTGCACTAGGCTGCAATCCTTTTTCCTCGGGAGTAAGCCCGACCGAAATTAAGGGTACATAGGTCAAATTGCGCATATAGACCCCCCCCAAAAAAAGAAGAAAAAAGACAGATACAGAAGTATCCCAACGCCCTCCGCCTTCTACAACACGCAACAGATGATAAGATGCTGCTAACATCCTTCCCCTACCTCTTTCCTTCCAAGATTTTGGACTATAATTCCCATCAGCACGAGCCACCGTGGCCAATGATCGGAGATGTTGGGAGCCGTACTTCACAGCTTTTCAGATTCAATTTTCGTCCCCGTCCCCCCTCCCCCCTCCGCTTCTTTTCACCCTTTATCTTTAGGAAGAAATAACAGAAATATTTCCCCGATTTCCTGGAACCTCCGACTTCTGCCTTTAACAGTAGTCAGAGCGAGCGAGTGAGATGCATTTTTAAAAAAATGAATTACAAAACATCATCAAATATGCACCGCTGAGTACGCTCCGCTGTGCCATGGAAGGACTGACGTTGGATTGAATAGGCAGCGTTATTCCGTGCAGGGCGCTTCCGAAGCGGTGCAGGAGCGCCTTCGTCTACCTGCATTGTGCTCGGTGCAGGATAAGGCAGATCCAGAGAGACTTGGGTTTTTTCCCACAAGGTCCCTTGTTAACTTTCAGGCCATTGCAGGCGATTTCTGGCAGATGCTACAACCCCACACCAGCTTGCTAAACTGAAATCCAAAGCCGATTGTACAATCGGGGCGAAATGGGTGCCTTCGGCTATGGCTATTGCTGGCATCTTTCCTCCCAGGTTGGCGTATGAAGGAGTTTGGAAACTTGCCGTACAAGTCCGATCTTACGTCTCCCTTACCCCACCAGGAAGATGATTGCATACACCTCTCAAGCAGTCGGCTTACGGGGTTGCTGCAAGACCAGCTTCGACCAAAATTAAGGGCTAGAGAGAGGGGCACACTCTTGTTCCCTGTGTGTGGACTTTGTCATGATTGCATGTTCAAGCAAGATTTGTAGGTTCGCAGATTGGGACCTTTCCATCTTAACTATCTATGTTTTAGTCTGTGTTTTGTTTTTCACATTTCCCTGCCAGGAAAATTCCCCACAAAAGGGTATTTTATGCTTGAATCCGCCTCCATCCGAGTAGATAGGTCCTGGTAGGATTTAAACTCAGTAAGGGGTAGTTCTAAATGAGTAAAGTGGGGGAAATAGCAAATTTGATGATATATATATATAATGTCTGGATCACATAATAAATAGCCACCATTAACCATGTTTTGGGACTGGCTGAGTAGCTCGGTGGTCTAGGTTGGGAGTTCGATTCCCCACTGTGCCTCCTCCGAATTAAAGCCAGCCTATGTGGCCTTGGGCAAGCTGAGAAGTCCCAGGATGCCCTCAGAGGAAAGGAATGGTAAACCACTTTCCCCCGGAAACCCCTGAAAAGGGTCGACGTAAGTCTGAATTGATCTGACCACATATGACTATTTTTATTAACTATGCTTTACTCTGGAATTTTAGATACTTGTATGTGTGCAATCCAATTGTAAGGGGTAAGTATCATCAACTGCATGGCAAAGGGTGGCTATTTTCTCATCTGATTCAGAAATTTTAAGTACAAATGTACGTATGCCGTTTTTCTATTAATTTTATATGTAACATCTTTCAGTCTTGGTATTTTGGACTGATGGACGGATAGTTAGAGAGTAGATTTTATTATCCCTTCCATTCTGTTCTAAACCTGCCTTGGGGATGAAAGTGGAAAAATAGGATGCACACTTTTTTTTTGAAGTAAAGAACAAATCACAGTTCACTCTGCAATGGAATAAACTAAAAATGCAGATGACGTTTTCTTTTGAATTGAAATTGTGTTTCAGACACGGACAGATCAGGCATTAAAGCAAACACGTATTTCCTCGGGTTATAATGTTCTCCTGAGACACTCGGTCCTATTGTGTATGAAACATGGCAGGCGCAAACAAAGCTATGCTATCTCGCAATTAACCACTTATAAAACAAAAGCAAACTACGTTGCCAAATGAAAACGAAGGAAAGTAGAATAAACTTTTTTTTCCCTGTCAAGGCGCACTGCCAGTGATCAACCTCCGATTAGTGAGTTAAACCTAAATAGCTAATTTGAATCTATTTTACGCACAGCAAATCTAATTTGGCCGATGGTCCGGTTGGACTCAGTGAGAGATATCTCTGAGTGAGTTGTTCTGTAAATGTGTTCAAAGTTTGAACAATACTTCCAAAGAGTCATTGTGGCACCTTGGAGACTTACGGGTTTATTCCAGAGTAAATTTCCTGGGTTACAACCGACTTGATTTCAACAGCCTTGCATCTTTGGTTCAACTTCAACCATGGTTGGCGAAGGGAACAAAAGCGTGGTGTGTTTCGATCTGGCAGTGGCAGTTTAAATTTGTCAGGCCTCCTACAGGTGCGGCGCACAGGCCTCCCCCTCGAGAGACTACAATCGAACTGTTCCTTTGCGGATATTCTTGAACGCCATGGAGTATCTCCGTTGAACGTAAAAACAGCTCACAAAGCAAAACCTCGAAATACGCCGTTGCCTTCTGAAGACAGACTTTCTTCCTCCGTAGACAAACGCACCTGGGAAATCAGGCTCCTTTATTTATTTATTTATTTATTTATTTATTTATTTATTTATTTATTTATTTATTTATACCCCGCCTATCTGGTCATTGCGACCACTCTAGGCGGCTTACAACATACAATACGACACAAATACTGTATAGGAATAAAAAATATAACACAACACAATCCTTGTCTCGAGTGCGACATGCGCGCTGCGGAGCCTACGAAGAATTCTGTGGCACCTTTAAGCCTGCCCAGTTCGATCTGGCATAAGGTTCCGTAGACTGGCGGCCGCTTCTGCAAAGGCCAGAAGGTGTGCTTCGTGTTTTCGTCAAACACGTAAAATCTTTTTGAGTCTTAGAACCGAACAGTTCCCAGAGCAAAGAGCACCATCGGGCCATCCGATGCGAATCAAAAGATTTCAACACTAAATACCAACCAAGTGAAAAGAAGATCAAATCAGCGGCACGCCTGTCTCTT